CCATCATAAATGTAATCCATACGGCTCCAGGGGGTTAATAAAGGCCTTCTGCAGTGAAAGCGATGCATATTTATAACTTTATAAAACTGTAGTCACTAACTTCCGGGAACATCCGTTCGCATGGTCACAAGAGAGTCGAGTTCCGACGTTTGACGTTTGTTTGTGGGAGTTGCGTAAGCTTAGGTGAGAGTAGACGCCTCTCGCGGTTTAACACAGTCTCATCCCAAGAAGTCATATAACTGACGTCTTGGGACGTATTTTGACCATACGTCAACATCCGGCTTTTTAGGGTACCCTTAAACGTTGGTTACATGATGATCCCGGGCCGTCATACAACTGACGCTTTACCTTTAACGTCGGTTAGGTGACAGGGTAGGTTTAGGTCTGGGGTAGGGTTAGGATCCGATAACGTCAAATAACCGACGTTTAAGAGTGCCCTAAAAAGGCGGATGTTGACGTATGGTCAAAAGACGTCAACTCCTCCAACATTTCTCTTTAAAATTCTCATTGTAGACTTCTAATTCATGACGGTTCCGCGTTCGTCAAAACGTCATGGCATTGGTCGGGTCGGAGGTCACACCAGAGCTCTACTGCATGGAAGCCATATGTTTATAAAGTTAAAGTATAAAGTCTAAAGTATAAAGTCTAAAGTATAAAGTTACAAAAATGACTTTAAATATTAAAAATTATGATGGATGGATGTGTTTTTTTTTTTTTTTTTTTTTTGGGGGGGGGGGGGGGGGGGCTTCAATATCTCAATTTCTATATAAATATCTTCACTTCCATTAAAGCTGGGAAGAGCCAATATATATATATTAATATAACCCTGATTCTGTTTGGCTGAAAGAAGAAAGTCATATACACCTAGGATGGATTGAGGGTGAGTGTAGGATCATTTTAATTTTTGGTGAACTAACCATTAACTATTACTATTAATTAACATCAGGTACTTATTATAGGGTTATGATTGGGTTTAGGGTTACTTGCATAATTATGCACAATTTATAGTTATTACTAAAGTAATCACATGCAACATCTAACAAGGACACTGTAAAAATAAAGTGTCACCCACATTTTGTAAATCATTGATTCAAAATGTAGCACAGCAGTAAATAGCCAACAATTTGTGAAAAAACATTTGGATTTATTTTACCAGGGTTTTGGAGTCTACACTATCACATTATTAGTGTGTTATGATGATATTACTAAGTAGACAATAAGCTTCCCCTTATGTGGTGGTGCTTTTGCCATGAACCCCACATGTGAATTTTATTTGAAATATGTGAAATATCCTCAGTATGAAATAATGTTTCAAACTGATTTGTCTTTTTCATTTATTGCCCAGTTGCTCACAAACACTGTTTCATTATTATTTCTTGAAAGTAGAATACCTTGTAGGCTATACATTTTTGAAAAAAAAAAAGATTTTCCTCTTTCCATCACAGTCAAACATTTGCTCTGTCTCTCTGTTTAAATGCATGACATTCAAAAGAGTGTACAGATCTTATAAATTTATTTCTGTATGGGTGAGGATCTTTAATCCATTCCAAGTATTCAATATGACTTTCTTCTTAATGTCATTGTGTTTTTTATTGATGACACAAAGTCAACATTAATATATTGTGGACTTTTTTTCATCATGTATTCAAGCATGTAATGCCTGACAGCCGATTCAAATCTCTGGTAAATTCTACTGATGACACAATTGTTGCAGGAAAGTCAATATCGAATACAAATTCCTTCAAGTTTTGCATTATGTAAATGCTTGAGGAAACCGTAAAACTGGAACATTCACAGCATGGACCACATTCTCATGATGGTCCATGCTGTGAATGGCATGGAAATCCAGTTTGTGAAATAAAAACCATTACTTTTCCTCCCAGACTGTGTTTCCGTTTATTAGAGTGATGCAGTTCTGAAAGTCGCCACGTTCAGATGAACAATAATATTTAAAGTTTTCCATTCTGAGAATCACTGACTTTGAGCAGACCAAACATTTGTTTATGCAGATCCTTCCAGTTTCAATAAGTAGTTTGTGTCTGCCAGTCAGTCTACATCACATATTCTGCTATCATCTCTTCTCAAAAGAGTACAATGCAGTTGGTACATTTCTAAAATTCATTTTCAGCAGTGTAACAATCCTGTGATGTTATACACAATGTTGAAACATCTCTGCAAAGTGAAAATAAACTCTCCAGCTGCACTAAAAGGCTGGGTTACACTTTATTTCGATAGTCACATTAGACATTCTACTAATTATAAGTAACTTTTCAACAACATATCAACTAACTCTCATTAGAGTATTAGTATATTATAGTAGACTGTCAGTAGACTCTTAGGTTATGGTTAGGTGTTAGGCTTTGGGTTAGGAGAATAAGTTTACTTGTAGTCCAACGCATTCTCACCCCAAGGCGTCACCTTTGACCATGCTTCAATATTTGACGTTTTAGGCGCCCTTTAGCGTCACTTACATGACGCGATCCTACGGCGTCATCTAACTGACGCTAAATGGAAAGCGTCAGTTAGAGGACGCGGTTAGGTTTAGGTGTGGGGTGGGGGTAGGGTTCACGCGATCCTAGGGCGTCATCTAACTGACGCTAAAGGACGCCTAAAGCGTCAGATATTGAAGCATGTCCAAATGCTTCCCAAGGCGTCAGTTAAGTGACGCCTTGGGGGTGTGTAGTCATCAAGTTACTTATAGTCCAACGCATTCTCACCCCAAGGCGTCACCTTTGACCATGCTTCAATATTTGACGTTTTAGGCGCCCTTTAGCGTCACTTACATGACGCGATCCTACGGCGTCATCTAACTGACGCTAAAGGAAAGCGTCAGTTAGAGGACGCGGTTAGGTTTAGGTGTGGGGTGGGGGAAGGGTACACGCGATCCTAGGGCGTCATCTTGCTGACGCTAAAGGGCGCCTAAAGCGTCATATATTGAAGCATGTCCAAATGCTTCCCAAGGCGTCAGTTAAGTGACGCCTTGGGGGTGAGAATGGGCTGTATAGTCAGTTGAATGTCTGTTGGGGGACCAACGAAATAAAGTGTTAGCAGATATTAAGCAGACAGTCTACTAATACTCTAATGACAGTTAGTTGACATGTAGTTGAAAAGTTACTTATAGTTAGTAGAATGTCTAAAGTGGACTATCAAAATAAAGTGTTACCAAAGGCTGGTCTCTGAAGACATGCAGAGTGCTAGAAAGAAGACGATAGCTTTGGAAAGAAACAAATGATATAAACAACACTCCAGATAATTATCATAATCCAGGCTTCAACCACTTGTATTTAATTAAAAGAGCCCTGGAAGGAAATTACTAACAGTGATTCATCAGATGCAAAATACAATACTCTAGATATCCATGCATATTCACAATCACTGATCTGGGCACTTAAATAGAGCAAGCGAAGCAACAACTCCACCATGCAGAACATAAACTTTTCACTGCATCAAACTCATCATCAGGAATCACAATGATGTTATATGAATATGATGCTGTTTGCATAATCACAAAATCTACCTTCTAGTGGGGTAAAGATGGCTCCTTTGATTTATTGTGGATTACTAGAAGGTAGATTTTGTGATTATGCAAACAGCATCATATTCATATAACATCATTGTGATTCCTGATGATGAGTTTGATGCAGTGAAAAGTTTATGTTCTGCATGGTGGAGTTGTTGCTTCGCTTGCTCTATTTACAACACATTCTCACCCCAAGGCGTCACCTTTGACCATGCTTCAATATTTGACGTTTTAGGCGCCCTTTAGCGTCACTTACATGACGCGATCCTACGGCGTCATCTAACTGACGCTAAAGGAAAGCGTCAGTTAGAGGACGCGGTTAGGTTTAGGTATGGGGTGGGGGTAGGGTACACGCGATCCTAGGGCGTCATCTAACTGACGCTAAAGGGCGCCTAAAGCGTCAGATATTGAAGCATGGTCAAATGCTTCCCAAGGCGTCAGTTAGGTGACGCCTTGGGAGTGAGAATGGGCTGAAGTTACAGGAAGAACTTTTTGTTCTTTTTTCTTTTGGCTGAACCATGTCAGAACTTTCAGCCAAATTTCTGGAAAGGTGTGTGGGTATATGCCTGTGCCCAGTTTTTGCCATTAAGGAACACCATGGGGAGTGTCAAATTAATAAAATGGAGGGACCCTCTGCTGATATTCCCACTCATGCAAGCCCATTTAATCCTGTAGTCAGAAAAAATACTCTAACAAGGTGTCTCAGATTACCTCGGTCACAGCTAACAACCAGCAAATTAGAGAGCTTGTACTTCCTTCGCCCTCTGGGTTTGTAGACTTAGCCTTCTGACCACAAATACGGCTTGACGGCTTGGGGTCGGCTTGACGAAATGGGCCAATTTCACCTCCACAGTCTGAAACAAACTACTCCTAAACTACAGATCACAGTCTGCATGAGCTAATGCTAAACTAATTTTGATTTACACATGAAGTTTGATCAGTCCATGATTACAATTTTGATTCATTTTGCACAAAGTTGAAGTTAGTTAGGATTCAGTGTGTTACTTGCTGTTTCATAGTTATTTGTGAAAGTTTTGAGAAATTTCAAAGGTGAAAATTGTATAAACTAATCACTCAGATCATACACCCTTTTTTCAAATCCTAAAAGTTAGTGAACCTTGAAGGTTTGGTCATTTAAAGCTTTTGGCAACAGTTACCTAAACTCAAAATGATTCAAGATGAGAAGGCTTAAAGAAGTCAAACTAGTCAACAAATGAAGTGGATCAAAAAAGTTCCTCAAAGTTGTCCTAAGACAAGACCGGGTGTTGTATGCATAACTTTGATGAAAGGTTTTAAATGGATCTACTTCAAATGTTAACTACTATAGAATCAAGGGCTGCAACTCCATTGAATGTGGAAAACTACTCACGCTGCACATGTGTATTCACTTACTGGTAAATTTACAAGGAGACAGGGTCTTTCTGTTAAGCGACTTACAGTAATTTGCCAGCTGCAGTTTCCGTTGGGAATGTTTGCCTGGGCTTGCCTCAGGCTCTCTCCTCCTCTCTTCTCTCTGCACGTTTGCTTGCAGACCAGCACCGTTGTGCAAATCGACAGAGAAGAGGACAAGAAGTCATGGTTTCTGAGAAGTTTTACCTGCGCCTGCTCACCTTTGTGGCCCTACTGACTGTACTGGCTCTCTCAGGTCTTGTTGGTTCTTGTACTTTACACCTCACCGTTTTTTTGTTTTTTGTTTTTGTCTTAAAGTTTCTTCTAAAATGTGCTTGCTCTCTCTGATTTAACTTGGAATTGAAGTGTAAAAGGTGGGAAAGTTCAGTAAATGTAATGTGGGCAGATCATTTTTTTCTCTTTGTCATTTTTTTCACTTCACAGCATGTTAAATGTGTGAAAGGAACACTACAGTGAGCAAACAGCAGGAGAGCTTTTTGGAGTTAGCAGGAGTTTTTGCACTGAAAGTTATTAAATCTCTGCAGTCGTATGTCACATTAAAAGTGTCAGAAGCTCCTGAAATTAATGTCTTCTTGCAGGTTGTTGGACCACTTGTTTTTCATCTTTGCATAGGCTTGTTATAGTTTAATGATTTGCCTCCCCCTATCTAAAGTGTCTAATTGAGTCACACTTTCCACAGAGAGTTGGAATGCATGAGAAACTGTTCAGTCCTTGAATGAAGGCTTGAAAATACTAAACGTAGATGAAAGTTATTCACTTTTTTTTTTTTTTTGAAGGATGTTCATTTGTGATGCTATTTGTCTCTTTGTGCTGTACTGTTGAGAGTTTAAATGAGATGTTTTGTATAGGCTCGATTATTACAGAAAGCTGCTCAATGACAATGTTTGATGGATGCTCATTTGTTTAGATATATATATATATATATATATATATATATAATTAAGTAATATGTTGTCAATATACTAAACCATTTAACCAAAAACTAACCACCATGATAAAAGAGGGTAAAAACAGAAAACCACATGATGAATTGGAGTTCATAATTCACGTATATATATATATATATATATATATATATATATATACGAATGCACAGGATCATCAACACACAAACACTAAAATAATGCAATAAATAACAGAACAAACGTTGTTTACCTATACAAATGAGAAGAAACTAAATTATATATAAAATATAATCACATGTGATGTGATCCTTTGTTTTCCACTATAAATTAGACAGTATTTTACAGTAAAAATATGTTAATTTTTTCACTGTGTATGGTAAGGTAACTTACAGGTAACCAATTAAAGATTTTTGTATTTTTTTTTTTCTAAATAATATTATGTACACACACACACACACACACACACATGCACAAACATGCACTTAATGTATAATTACTTTAATTCAGTTTGTGATATTTTCTAGATGTTGCTAGTGAGAACACCCTGGAAAAACTCTTGATGAAAAGAGGTGACTTTTTTTTAATTGCATGTTTTATTTTGTCAGCAACAAACTAAACAAAATCACCAATAGAGTGGTGCATGATGTCACTTTGTAGGTCGACTGGCTGTTCTGAGAAATAAAGTTGCAATTGTGAGATATAAAGTCGCAATTCTGAGAAATAATGTCGCAATTGCGAGATATAAAGTCGCAATTCTGAGAAATAAAGTCGCAATTGTGAGAAAAAAAGACAGAATTTAAACTTTTTATCTCACAATTGCGAGTTTACATCTCTACCCCTCAGAATTGTTTATATTTCACAATATCTATCTAACTTTACAACACATAATTTCAACTTTATACCATGCATTTCTGACTTTATAACACGCAAATGCGACTTTATATCTCGCAATTCTGACTTTATATCTCGCAATTCTGACTTTATAACACACAGTTGCGATTTTATCTCATTCTGACTTCATATATCGCAATTCTCACTTTATATCTCGCAATTCGGACTTTATAACATGCAATTGCGACTTTATATCAATCAATTCTGACTTTATATCTCGCAATTCTGACTTTATATCTTCTTATTTTATAACACGCAATTGCGACATTATATCACGAAATTCCGACTTTATATCTCGCAATTCTGAGAAATAAAGTCAGAATTGCGAGATGTGAACTCTCAAATGTGAGAAAAAAAATCAGAATTGTGAAATAAAAAGTCACAATTACCTTTTTTATGTTTCATTAAGTGGCGGAAACAAGCTTTCATGCCCCCGTGTGTGTGCTTTAACCAAATTTGTGTCCTCCTGTCCCATTTGTCTCCCACTAGTGGACACTGATGTAAAGCCAGCTGCAGCTGCAGCTGTGGCTGTGACTCCCTCCAAGGCCAAACAGTTCCTGGCCTCCCTTAAAAGGTCCAAAAGAAACCTGTGGGACCGCAGCCGACCTGACGTTCAGCAGTGGATCCAGCAGTTCATGTACATGGGCTTTGATGAAGCAGTGAGTACTTGTGTCAGCTTTTAATATACCATAAACCAATGTGATATATAAAAGGTCTTAAAATAGCTTTGGGTATAGCTACACCTGGCTTTATGTCTTTTTTTACTTCTCACCAACATCAATGTAAGACAAATTATGCTACAATTTAAGACAAAGGTAAGGCAAACGCATAAAAAATCTCTGTCCAGAGATGTAAAAATACTAGATATGTCATAAAATACTGTATATGTTGCTTCTTTATTACCCTTTTGTTTCCAGTCAGTTTGTGTTTGAATAGATGTTTGTGAAAAATTCTATCTTGCTCGGCTATTTTTCCAGCCTGTATCTGAACGGTTTAATGTTGCTTGCACAATTTTTTTTTTCTTTTTTAAATTGACAACTCTGGCCCTGGGGATCCACTTTCCTGCAGGGTTTAGTGCCAATCAAACACACCTCAAAAAACTAATCAAGGTCTTCAAGATTACTAGAGTTACAATCATGTGAGTTTAGGTTGGAGAAAAACTCCAAGAAAGTGGATCTCGAGGGCCGGATCTGCCCAGCCCTGAAAAACATCATTGAATTAATAATGGGCATGAAATATTGATTTGTCTGGCAATTATGTTGTAACTGTGGGCATCTAAAGCTATATGTAGGAAAAAGCGGTCAGTCAGTTATAGAGGGTTGCATAAGATCTTCATGGACACAAAGAAAATGTGACCGCTGAATGTCGTAATTGACCTCAGTCAGAATCAATAATTCCTCAGGTGCGTTTGATTTAGTTGAATCATATCCCAGGGATTGACCTGTTACAAAAAGGCTACAGCCAATTTAGGCTTCCAACATAAGGTGCAACTTTTTACAAAAAGTTATATTGGCTACATTTGAATTATTCCAAAAGTAATTTTGTCTGTGTGCGTGTGTATGCATGTAAAATCAATTTTGAAATCTCTTAACCAGAATTCACCAAAAGTAGGCTATTTTTTCACAGATTCTCTGAGGGATTGAACCCAGCTAACAAGAAACATTGAAGGTTGTCTTAAGTAATGAACAAACATTCTTCCAGTAGATTTAATTAACATTAAGAGTTATGTGGTTCTTAATAATGTTCTCAAAGCACCTTTGTAAGAACAAAAACAACCTTTTTTTTTTAGTTGGACATATTTTAAATGTTACAAGTTTGTTTCAGAACATTCAAAATGAATGTTTCCATAATGTTTGAAGAATTCACGTTACAAAGAAATAATGTATAAATGTTTTGGGCGTTCAGAAATAACATTTTCATAACTTAATGAGAACGTTAGAAAAATGTTCATATTTTTGTTAGCTGGGATAAAGTTTTCAACTTAGAAACGTACATGACATATGCACAAATCATAGATCATGGCGACTAGTTAAGAATTCGTTCCCTTGTTTTAATAAATTGTTGAACTAATATTTTTCCACATTTTTTATTGAACTGAAACAAGGGAACAATGTGGCACAGTGTTATTACAGTTGTAATCTAACCTATTCAACCCCCATTGCAAATCAGGTTTATTGGCAAAATGTACTGATGTTCAGCTATTTGCAATGAACAAATCACACTAGTCGGAATAGCTCGACATAACAAATGTTTCAAGTGGTTTCCCCAAATTCAACTTGAAATGTAACATTAAATGACTTCTGCAGTTTCAAAATTATTCAATCCCTTCATGGCAAGAATCTTTACAGAACACCTGTTTGCTGTTTAACCTGCTGCAGATATATAACCAGACAATCGCTTCTGCCAGCGTTTCTGGGGAATCTTATCACATTCCTCATGAGTAATGACCTCCAGTTCAGTAATATTCTTGGGTTTGTGTGCTGCAACCACCTTCTTCAAATCCAATCAGAGATTTTCAATGGGGTTCAAGTCAGATGACTGTGATGGCTACTGTAGAATCTTCCAGGACCTCTTCTGCAACCAAGCCAATTTGAGGTTTGCTTGGGATCATTATCCTGATGGAAGGTCCAATGACGCCCATTCTCCAGCTTCCTTTTTGAAGATTTCATGATACTTCAGTGAATCCATCTTGCATTCCACACACTGCAGGTTTACATTGCCATAGAGGATATAATGAAACCCCAAAGAATCAGTAGAATCACTATTTCTAATGGCATAAATGCTACGTGGGATCTCAAAATCTCAGCTCTGGAAGGGTCTAGAGCCTCAATTTTTGCACTCAGGTCTAAGTCTCATGGCCCTCTATCAGAATCCAGAGTTTAAAGAAGATCAGAGAAACTTATTTTCGATAAGAATTTACGATACATTTGTGGGGAAAGCCTCAGTGCTTCACAAAGCTTAATTTCACCATCACTGCTTGCAGTCAGTGCATCTTTATTAACTTCCAAATCAAGAATAGCCTATCAAAAAAAAAAAAAAAAAAACATAAACAAAACTCACTCAAGGTGACCCTCTTCAAAGAACTGCTTTCACAGACAAACATACATTCCTTTAGGGTCAACCATTTTACAGTAATAGGGAAATTAAATAATGTTCACACACATAATTCATAACTACACTTAAAATGAAAATAATATTCAAAATACATCAACCTTAATTATACAAGGAAAATAATACAAATAATAAACAAATACATTTCTACATACAATGAACATAAAACACATTAACACATGAAACAATAACCCCCTGCTCCCATTGAGAAATAGACTATGCCTACACTACCCAGAATTCTTTGGGATGGCATAAAAAGAGGAACAGGAAGGCTGCCCGTCCTCTTAACACCCACCCCCGGAGACCATGCTGCAGACATGAACCCAGAAGGTTAGTTTTGCAAATGAGGATAAAACTAATGATTTATTTAAATACCAAATAAAAGAAATAAAGAAATACAATCTTGGTGTTTTTTTATCAGTCTAATTTGCACCTCTGACTAGAAAAAAGTCACCAAATAATGAAAAACAAACGAATATAAAGCAAACAGACACAGGGCATACACTGCCATCAGTGGTAACTTAGGACTTTGTCACAGTTATAGTCATTTATATTGCATTAGATTTATTGGGGGAGTAGAGTAATATATAATTCATTGTGTGTATAGTTTTTACCCGTTTAGGCATTTTTTATGGTATAGTCTCACTGTCAGGACATTTTAATTTAAGCCTATAATAATTATTAATAAAATAATTCTTACCAATATGATATTGTATAATTCACGTATTTGTAGCTGTAAATAAGTTATTTATTATGGTCTGCATACTGTTGGGTACCACATTGGAAGTAAATGCAATACTTTTTTTGGTTTACTTTAATCCAGAGTTTCAAGAAGATCAGAGAAACTTATGTTCTTGCACCGAAAAGGTCGACAGGGGTACCCCTGTCGTTTTTTTTTTTTTTTTTGGTCAAAATTTTGAGTTTGCAGTATAAGACTCATGTGCCTTGAGCAGGGAAACAGCTCTCTTGAGGAACACCTGGAGGTTTTCCTGGATTTGGTACCTCAAACCAGTTTCCCAGATGACTGCCTCTGCACCTTTCTACGTGTGGGACTGAACAACACCACTCTAGCGCAGTTGTCTGTGGAACCACCTCAAATAAGCTTTGCCCAAGTTGTGGAGTGGGTGCTGGTATCCTGCGGATCATTCTTCACTGCCGATGACATCACCAGCCCGAGACCATCCAGTCCGAAGGGTCTTCCCCATCCTGTCAATGCTCTCAGCCTGCTCCACCACATCCACGTCCTGCTCCGCCCTGGTCACATCCTCAGCCTGCTCTGCCACGTCCTGCTCCGCCCTGGCCACGCCCTCAGCCTACTCCACCACGTGCACGTCCTGCTCCGCCCTGGCCACGCCCTCAGCCTACTCCACCACGTCCACGTCCTGCTCTGCCCTGGTCACATCCTCAGCCTGCTCTGCCACGTCCACGTCCTGCTCCGCCCTGGCCACGCCCTCAGCCTGCTCCGCCCTGGTCACATCCTCAGCCTGCTCCACCACATCCACGTCCTGCTCCGGCCTGGCCATGCTCTCAGGCTGCTCCGCCACGCCCACATCCTGCTCCACATCCTGGTCCCTGCTCCACTCTCATTGATGTTCTACGGCGCAAGGTCGCGCCTTTGTAAAGGGGGCCGTTCTGTCACGGTCTTCGTCTGCGCCATTCTGTCTTCGTCATCTTCACTACACTTCCCAGCATCCTCTTGTCTCCACACCTGAACTCACTCCCTCAATCATCCACCTGTTCATCGTCCTGATCATCTGTGTCATCTTGTTAGTGTTCGTTTTGTATTTAGTTCTCTCTGTTTCAGTCTGTGCTTGCCGGTTCTTGATTATGTCTCATGGATAGTGTGTGTAATCTTCTGCCAGTCTTCTTTGTACCTGTTTGGAGTTTTTGAGTGAATGTTTTGTATTGGAGTATTTTGTATTGAATGTTTTGTATTTGTATTTTGTATTTTTCGTCAGCCTCAGTCTGTCTTCATTCCACACTACACTGTGACAATAATCACAAAAAATGTCAGACTCCCTTTTTAATCACGCACACTCTCTCTGACTCACACACCAACACACTTTCTCACATATACGCACACATATATACTTGCACACGCACACACACACACACACATACTTTCAAACAAACACACTTGCATGTTGAATGGTTTTCTAAAATATTCAATTTACTCACTGCATATTTGTATAATTCAGATAATAATAACTATTATAATAATAGTTAATAATAATAATCTCAGTAATAATTTATAATAACCAATAAACTGTAAAGAAAAGGGCAAAATATAAAATTAAGCCACTTCATAAGACTACACAATTTAGTGAATATTTAATTTACTGTACACGTATAGCATTATGCCTTTATGTGGTTTCTTCTTGTCTTCAAGGAAAAAGCCGGCCACCCGACATATAAAGTTGATTCTGATTGGTCCTCTTCTGTGCATTCCAAGTGTTGATTGGCTCATGCAGATAGAACCTTATAGAGCCAAGTTAGAGTTCGACTTTTTAGATAGAACATTTTTGTTTTTTCAATAAAAAGTCCCACAATGAACACAACTTAAAACAAACATCACATAACGTAAATAAGTTGTCACAGAATAAGAATATGTGAATAACTCAATTTTGACAAAAATGTCAGATAGAACCTTATAATTCCAA